AGGCGATGCGTTAAAAATGTTTTCCCCATAATTTCATTCCTTTGTTATCATTCAAGTTACAAGAATTAAAGACTAGTTTTACTATATCCAAGGAGTTCTTTATTAAGTATACAACAATTTGTTGTGGATTTTTTGTTCTGTTTTGTTTTTCATTTTCCAACTTTGAATTTTAATAGAACTGAATCTGGAAGTGAGAGAGAGATGAGAGACTTTTCACCACATACTTACCTTTTAGTGCCATTTGAAGAGTAAACCCTTGAATGTATTACCTGTCCAAACAAAAGAAGAGTAAAAATTTAATGTAAACATAACTGAGTTTTAGTGAAAATAGTATGCATTTCAACATAAAAAGTGCTGTAGGTTAAACAGGTCTGGTTGCACAGAAAGCATTTGACTAATAAAAATATTCTTCAATAACCAGGTGTCCTGCTGCTAAAGAATATTTCAAGGAGAATTCCCATCATTGGAGTTGGGCTGTACAATGGTTACAGAAGAAGGTAATTGAATTTTGAACTTTCCTGACTATGTCATAAGAATCAGTAACGGCACATCTTATCAGGAAAAAAATCTCTTAAACTTAAGAGAATGACCTTTAAGGTATTTTCAGACTTCAAACATTTTAGTATAGTTGATACCTGCCTTTATGCATTAAATTAGTGTCTTAATGCACGTGACTTAAGATTGTAGGTTACGAGAAGCAGTGTTTTGTTGACGTCTTGAGAGTGACAGTGAATATTCCAGGAAGTCATCTCTTGGTGTAACAGAAGGTCTGGGTAGATTTTATATCCACATTTGGCTATGTTTTAGATGCTTTTTTATACTCTAATATCTTGTGGTAGAAATTGTGGAGTCACGTGAGTTATTTGTCATCTCTGCTGGCATTTTTGACCTTTCATCTCAGATGTCAGAACATTATTGGACACCGCAGAGTAATGTCTCTAATGAAACATCAACTGGAAAAACCTTTCAGCGAACGATTTCAGCTCAGGTGAGGATTCTCTTTCTGTTTTGTGTGGTTTGAAAACCCTTACATAGGCCTTTCAGTATGTTTCTTAGGAACTGCAGCCTCAAAAAGAGAGGTATAGATTGAAAATGAGAAAGAACAGGAGAAACTGTTGAATGTATGAAAAGATAGCAGATTGTTTTACACTTAACGCAAGTCAGTGCAAATCACTTGCCTAGAAGAAAAGAGCCTTAGATTGGTCAGTCTAGTCTCACCGTGGGGCTGAGGTTGAGCTGTGAGCTCTGGGCCGTGAAAGCCCCGCTCTCAATGCTCCCAGGGTGTGCCCCCCCCCCGCCCCCGCATCGCTGCTACATGCAAACACCCCATAACTTTTTCTTCTTGTTTGTAAATCTACTGCAGGACACATTAGCATATGCCACAGCTTTGTTGAATGAAAAAGAGCAATCAGGAAGCAGTAATGGGTCGGAGAGCAGTCCTGCCAATGAGAACGGAGAGAGGCATTTACAACAGGTATGGCTGGAGGGCATGTCGGTGTGTGAAAGGGCAATACCTGCTCTTTAAGTTTTCCGTTTTTCAGTCCTCGTCTTAGTTGACCCCTTGGCAGAATCTGACACTACTGGCCAATCCTCCCTTTTGAAACAGTCTTCCCAGGGTTTCTGTGACACGTGACACCTTGCTCTCCTGGTTTTCCTCCAGGCCCTCCAGCTGTCTTTTCTCAAGTCTCTTTTCCAGTTCAGCCTCTTCTTGACCGCCAGGAAATGTTCTTCAAGGCTCTCTCCCACGCACTTTTAGCCCCTCGCTCAGTCCTTTCTCATCCACACCCACAGCGTTGATTCTTCTGCACTCAGACCTGAACATCAGTCTCTTCTTTTGATGTCTCCACTTGATATGTCTCGAATGCAGCATGTCCCACCCATCCTCACCACCCCTACCAAAGCTTTCCCCCTTCAGTGTTCATTATCTCATAAGTAGTGCCCTGTCTACCATGGTATCAAGGCAGACACCTGCCCATCAGTGTCACCGATCCTATCAGATTGGAGACCTTTTACACATCTCTCATCCATTCACTCCCACTTGTAGTAAGCACGCTAGTCTCCTGAACCTCCCTGCGTCTGCTTTTGCTTCTCTGTAGTTCATTTGCTTAAACCTTTCAGTGGTTTTCCATTGCTATTGGAATAAAAGCCAAAACCCCCAACACAGTCCTGCTTATTTTGGCCCCTACATAACTCTCCCCCACGCTCACCTCCCATTTTCTGAATTCTAGATACAGCAGCCTTCTTTCAGTTTATCAAATATACTTTGTGCCTTCCCACCTCAGCCCCTTCCCACTCACCCAGCTCCCACTGAGCTTACATGTCCCATCTCTAGAGAGACTTCCCTGCTCTTTCTCCCTGCCCCCATCCCAGCTAGATTGGTCCCAAGGCAGATGGTAGGCCACATAGTGGGTGACAGAGACAGAATTCCGACCCAGGAGTGACCCAGGCCAGTCTTTGGCAGCATGGGGCAGTACAGAGACCAGGCATGTGCCCAGCACAGAGCGGTATCTGCACAGGCTCCCGCCTGCCACCCCCACCCACCCCATTTCATCGCACTGCTCATCCTGCGGGGTTGTGTAGTGACATTGTGACTTTAGGTGAGTCCGTGTGTTGTTTCAATGACTAAATGAGATCTTAGAAAGTGTAAGGTGTTATTATACCTTATTACCCTTTGATAGACGTTAAACTGAGTTGTTGGGAGAGGACATGTCTAAACTACAGAACACAAATAAGCCGGTCGGCAGAGGGACATGCTTCTCTGGCTGTGGTGGACACGGTTTGAATCCCTTCTTCCCTAGGGCTCCGAGTCACCGATGATGATCGGGGAGTTGAGAAGCGACCTTGACGACGTGGACCCTTAGAGGGGCATGCGCAGACGAGACGAGGAGTCAGAGCACAGCCAGAATGCTCAGCACCTTTTCAAATCAGAATCTCATCCTTCAGACCTTTAGAAGAGCCTGGAGATTGAACTGGGAGAACCTTCCATGACACTGGAAACCAATGTTTTTGAAAGAAAGCACTCTTTGGCCACTAAAAGGTTTGGGAGCTGTTTGGCAGTGAGAGAGCTCTGGCATGTGGAGCAGCTGTCCCAGGGGGGACAGTCTACGCCTGAATTAACATTTTTGTGGAGATTTTAGGAAATAAAGCCGGTGGCAGACTTTTTTGTTACATGAACATAGAAGAGTGAGGGTAAAGCTGTTGCTTTTTCTATGATGCTACAAAAGAAATTTCTTTGGTTTTTATATTTAAAAAAAAAAAAAAAAGCAAGCTGCCTTTAGACGTGTGGGGGCAAATTTTTAATCTTGCAGTAACATTGAATAGGAATATCCAATTTAAAATAATGTAAAGATGTGATAAAATTCATTTTCATTGTAAAATACTAGTTAAAGATACAGTTTACACAGACCTTTGTATTTAATATGTCTCCCTATTTGTACAGAATTTCAGAAGGGTTTAGATGAAAGCTCTGGGCATAAGCTTGGATCTCAGTGAAATGTTACTGGGATCAAAAATTGGAAATTATTAAGCTCTTTAAGATATTTTTCTGATAATAATTGAGATTGAAAAGAGCAATAAAAAAATGCTGTGTTCTCCAGAAGTACAAGGTGCATTCTTTAACATCAGTCACTAAAGAAGCTATGAGTTGCTCCCAAAACAAATTTTAAAAATACCAAAATAAAAAGCACTTTAAGATATAATTTTATTACAGTTTGACTTCATGAAATCATCTTTTTAACACTTGGAGACATATTGAATAAACTGTAGTCTTAAATTATGTACTCTGCAATCATTTGCTTTTGCTTCAAACAAACCCTAGATTACTGAAACCCTTGATATTGGTTATATATGAAGTTAAATATTTGAATTGGGAGACACCACTTCGCGAGTTTCATAGTAATTTTAATGCCGAGGAGAAATTTGAGACTTTATTTCTCCTCAACATGACTAACACCGAAAAGACAAGGAGAAGGCTTAAAGTTTATTTCCCGGAAATAACCAGAAAGTAATTGAACAACCATCCGTTTAATTGTATCTCCCAAGTGTAGCGGCACCATTCACTCATTTCAGGTTAGACACCAGCTCCTTTTGGTGTTGGGGGGTGGGGGTGATGCCAGTATATTTCATAAGTTTTGTATTTTGCGTTGCACGCACACATTTTTGGCCCTGTTTTGCCTTTAGTTACCTCTTCTACCTTATTTTCAATTCACCATGCTCAGAACTAGGGGAGCCTTAAGAAGTGCCAGGTGCCACTGTCATTTAGATTTGCCAAGTCAAAGAGGCACAGCCAGCCCCAAAGTGCCTTTTTGGTTGCTTTTGCATTTTGTACAGACACGTGACAGGACAGACAGCTTTCATTGCTGTGCACTTTCCATACACCAGTCATTTCACTATGGAACTGCTGAAAGTTACTGGGCAGCCAGGCTTCAATTCGTGATTCTGCAACTTCCCGCAGGCTAATGATGGCTATTGTCAAATACACTGGGTGGGCAGAAGGGCCCAGTATTTAAGAGCAGAACTGCTCCTCAGAGAAATGGACAGAGGCAGTTGGCAAATTTTATATGGTTCTATGTTCTTGCAATTTCAAGTGTGATGTTTTAAAATTGATTTTGAGCACATAAATACTCCATGTCCTACTGTTTTCCCTCCCCTCCCCTCACCCTTCTTTACAGCCTCATCCTCACAAAAGGATCGTGTGGGACATGACACTGAAATGCTGGTGGTGATGTGTCTTGGGATCTCATCACTGACAGCTGCACTCTCAGGAGCCCAAATTCAGGAGTGAGATAGCCACTTCTAGCTCCCCTTATTTCCTATGGAAACAGCCCCTTCCGTAGCCCCTGGCACCTGCCGTCCTCCCTGTAACGCCTCATCAGGATCACTCCTATTTTATAGTATATGCTTCGTTTAATTTTGCATATGTTGTTGCTGAAATGAACATCATTTCCACTTTGCCAGTAACCACTTGATTTCCAACAGCTGCAGTCTACAAACCTGTTGATGACTTTTTTTTAATGTAGTTCTACAAAGTGACAGTTACAACAAGCTAACCTGGGAAGAGTTGTCATTTTTACTGCCAATTTTTTGGATGAAGATGTTTTTATAAATCTTTCAAAACGGTCTGCAGATCGAGCAGGAATTGCACAACTAATTCAATGCCGTGTGTTCTCAAGAAGCTCCCTTAGTGAAGGCCTTCCCAAAGGTGGCTGGTTCAACCCATTAAAGGCATCCTGGGAAAGAAAACAAGAGCGTCCCAACGGGCATCTCGCCCGTGACTTCTCCTGGAGTGCTCACCTGGTCACTCACAACTACAATAAATTTTAAGACCTAGAACACCTTGTCATCAGACTTACCCTGTCTTGCCCCACCCTCCCTGCTAACATTGAGGTGTGTGCAGTTCCCTTTTGAGCTTGGAACAAGCAGACTGGAATTTTCCTCTGCTACCTCTTGTGTACAGAATTTTGTTTATAAAATTTCAAACGGAAGTAGATAAAATAGGGAAGAATCTTAATTCTGAGTTTGGGTCATGAGTGGCAGAGTTCTGAGCTTCTAGGAGCATAAAATAAATTTTTCAAAAATGTGAAGCTGGAGTCTCACCAACATTTTTCTCCATATAGCAGAAGACAGCCATGGGATGGGGTTACCCTGGGCCAGTGGCCTAGTGCCAAGTGGTGCTACATTTCCTTTTAGAACTTGGCGATAGTGGTGTGAAACAGGTCCACTATTTTAATAATAAGGGGGTTTATGGGTCTTCAAGCATTTTGCTATTCTTTTTTCTGCACAGTCTGACCATTTTAGGGTTAATTTGCAAAGTTTGGATGAGGATGCCAAACTCTGGCTGATGACCTACAGGTGTCTTCCCTATAGCTTTCAGGTCCCTCCTAAATAGTCCCCAGCAAGAACCAAGTTCCCTGGCCAAGCTAGGTTTCTTGCTTGGTACTGTGGGTCCCAGCCTCATTCCTAATGAGACGATTCCTGCCTTTGCTCACATGGTTCCCCTTCCCTGGGGTGTTTGGCAGTCCAGATCCTCCTCTTCCTGTGGCCCCCCCATTCCTCCCTCCCCCCCCCGCCAGTGACACCTGCCAGTCGTCTTTGAGAGCCAAGTGGTTCCTTTCTCCAGTCATGGAGCTGTCGGTGTGGCTGTCTAACAAACTGACCCTTGATTCCGTGCCATTTGAGGGGTGGGCGGTCTAGTATCAACAGTCACAGGTGCCAGTGCACAGAGATGCACTGCTCTTTCCTGGCATTCGAGGCCATTAGCATCTGTCAGCTCTTGAACACCTTCGATATAGGACACAAAATTGTCAGAAGACAACTTGGAAAGATTTTCCCTTTGCAGAAAGATTCCCTTACCATTTATGATATGGACTGTGTAGAGACAGACCTTGCTTAAGAGAACTACACCCTACAACCTCACAGTGGGGAGCAGGGGCTGGGAGGTCCCACTGTACGGGATAATTACACTTGGCAAAGAGGTCTGAGGCTTCGTAATTTCAAATCATAAACAGTGATTATGAACATAGCACTGACTCCTCATTACAGAAGCATCTGACACCATATAACTAATTTGTTCCATAAGCATTCACTCTGTGCTAGGTACTGGGAAGATGGGAATGAAAAGGACATTGGGCGCTCAGGGTTTGGTGGGGGACACAGACGATAGAGCAGCTAGAGTGCTGTAAGGGGGCAAGTTGCCAAAGAGGAACCCCAACAGCATGGAATCAGGGAACCAAAGAAGAACCCTAACGGCTTGGAGTCAGGGAAGCTATGGGAAGACACCAATTTCATTCCTAGGACATGTAAGAAACAAGCTCACATCATCAGCTTCCACACAATACTTTGGTTCATCAGCCATTTAACAAACTTATCAAGTGCCTAGTATAAGCAAGGCATCATCCCAGACACTCAAATCCAGGCAAGAGTCATAGCAAAGTAGCAAAGTTGTTTTATTTTTAAAAGTTACCGTATAATAAAAACACTACAAAACCCAGAATAAATATCTTCACGTTACAAAAGCAAAACAGATCTAGAAAAGCTTTTTGCTCTAAAAAGGCAACAGCACCGTTCACAAACAGACCAAAAAAATAAATGCATGCTTGTTTGCTTGGCGGGGTGCTCAAGGAGGGATAGTTCCCCTACCCCTAATCCCTCAGGGCCTGTCCACCCAGGTCACAGTGAATTGGACAAAGGTAGCCAGAGGAAAAGTGCTGTTCCGCAGGGACCAGGAGCCCAGGAAGAAGCAGGGTGAGGCACAAGCTCTGCTTACACACTGTGCTACCTCAGGCCTGTGTTCCCCTCAGAGGCTCAGTGTTAGCTCTGAAAACATGGGCCCAGCTGGTGCGGGTAAAAGAGGCTAGGCTTTGGAGCTGGCCAGGTCTGGGTTTTATCCTAGTGCCACCTCACTTCCTGGCTGTGTGAGTTTGAGGGCATGCCCCCTCTCTGGTTGCCAGTTTCTTCCTCCATAAAACGGGGATGAGAGGGCTGGGTGAGATGGTGTATCTACCATGTGGCATTCCCCTTGAAACTGAAAAGAAAGCCCCGGGACGCATCTGTCACTGCAGGCCAGTCCTGGGCAGGTAGCAAGGCCTGGAAGAGAGCACAGTGGGGGCAGCTGGGAGAAACAAAGACATGGCCCTGTGACCACCTGGGACACATCTGCCTCTGGCTGGATCTCTGATGCCGCTGCTGGTGGCTCGGGGTGGGCACAAGAGCTAGGAATTTCAAGGAAAGCTGTCTCCCAGGAGGTGGGTCCTAACAGCCTGGCTGGGAGGGCCTGTGGAGATCACTGAACTGATGAACCCTGAGAGAGAAAGAGCAAAAATTTGAACCAAAGTCTCCTGGCAGCTGACAATGGGCTCATTCTGGCCTCAATTCTCCCATCTGTCCAGTGGGTAGAAAAGGCCCTTCCTTTGTCCCAGGGCTGCTTTGAAACCCTGTGAGCATGTGGTTGGAGAAGCACTTTGGACATTCTGAAGTGTTGGCTAGATCTGGGGCAGCCTCAGCCCTGTGGCTCAGCAGGTGGATGCAGACTCCCTAGGGTGGGAGATGCTCAAAGTGGGCTCAGAGTAAGGAAGAAGTGATGCTTGAGCAGGGTGGGAGTGCCGGGCCTCCACACAGGGCTGGGTATGTCCTCCCAAGGGATGTAGAAAACTGATCCTCTGCTAATCAAGGAGCCCAAAAGGGCTTCTCCCAGTGGACAGGAGGAGAGGGACCACCCCAGCTTTCACACTCACTCCCCTGACTGCTATTTGGCCCTCCAGCTCCCAAGTGCCTCCTCACCTTCCCCTGGGAAAAGTGCTGCCCCTACATGGAGACAAGGATCAATGCCTGGCATGTAGCAAGAGCTCAGTACCACCCTGCCCATGGGTGCTGCCATCTTGGGAGGAGCTGGCAGGAAACAACACAGCTTCACCCATCGTAATGGTGGAGTGCCCTACACAGGCCCCGCAGTGATGGAGGGAGCTTCCCAGCACCTCCAACCCTGCTATGCTCAGCTCAGGTCTAGGAACGGCTGATCCAGGCTGAGAGCAAGTTGTCCTAGAGCCCACCCACCCCAAGTCCAGCACCGCAGCTCCAGGAAGGGCGAGGAATCCTCTGTCCCCGTGGGCCCAGGCCATGGAGGGCTGAGGAGGGGTGAAGTCGAAACCATTTCAAAGCCCAGATGTGGAACCATAGCATCCAGCCCCTCAACCTCCTCACGCACCACATCCTGTTCCAGGCTGTCACTGGAGCTCTGAGGAAGCCTGCTCCAAGGGTCGGCTCCGGCAGCAGATTGCAACGGCGGCCGTGGCCTCCTCACTGGTCCTGCCTCCTGCGCCGACATCCTGGCTCCTCACCACACATATGCTGTCCACAGGGTAGGCCCCCAGGACGAGCGAGGCCCCAGGGAGGGCACTGCAGCCCGTCAAGGTCCAGCCCTCCTCACAGGCCACAGCCACCTGCCAGAGCAGGAAGAAGAAAGGACATGTCCAGCCCCACGTGGAGGCCAGGCACTCCCGCTCGGCTCAGGTGTCACTTCTTCCTCACTCCGAGCCCACTTTGCGCACCTTCTGCCCCAGGGGTTTGCATCCACCCTCCGACCTCCTGCTTCGGGCCAGGTCTGTGGATGTCTAACACGGCCAATACCAAACTCTTCATCTTCCCCCAAAGTCTATAAACCCCCCAAGTCTTCCCCGTGCCAGTTAATGGCAACTCCACTTGCCCAGTAGCTCAGCAAAAACCTTGGAATTGTCCTCCACTCCTCCCATCCACATCCAATCCATCAGAGATCCTGTGGGCTCCTCCTTCAAATTCCAGAATCTGACTGCATCTCGCCACCAGGCCCCAGCCCCCATCCCCCGGGCCTGGATCATCATGGTAGCTGCCCATCTGGTCTCCCTGCTTCTGCCTGTGCCCCCTGCAGCCTCTCCACAGCTCAACGGCCAGAGTGAGCCGGTTCACGCCCAGGTCAGATCATGTCCCTCCGTCCTGGGCACAGAACTCTGCGTGGCTCCCAGCTCATTCGGGGAATAAACCAAGTCTTCAGTGTCGCCATCAGGCCAGACCTGCCCTAACCCTGTCCCTTCTCTGAGGCCTTCTCCCCATCTTCCTCCCCACTCTCACTCTGTTCCAGAGTCACAGGAGTCCCGGCTGTTTCTCCTACACTCCGGCCATGCTGTGTCCCCAAGGCCTTTGCCCTGGCTGTTCCCTCTGCCTGGAACACTTCCCTGCACTATCCTCATAGCTCACTTCCTGGCTCCTTCAGTGTTTGCTGAAATGGCACCTTCTCAGTGAGGCCTTTACTGACAACCTCCCCGCCTCCCCATTCCTGTCCCTGCTTTATTTTTCTCCACAGCGCTTGTTATCTTTTAGGTACTATATAATTAACTAATTTTATTTACTGTCTGTCTCCTCCACTAGAATGGACCCTCCAGGAGGGAGGAGCAGGGCTGTTCGTGGGGTTTGTATCCCCAGCGCTTGCACCAACAGCAGTGGTGGGAACACCGCAGCACCAGGTACAAGGTGAGGGAGGAAGTGGGTCTGAGCAGTCCTTGCCCTCAAGGAATGCATAATCCAGACCACAATTACCACAGTCTAGCACTTTGAAAACTCCATTCTGAGTGCATTTAAGAGCAGATTCTAACCGCTTCCTTTGAAGAAGCTGCCTGTGTGGCTTTTAAAAAAGCAGAGTTACAGAGCAACTGCTGACACCCGCCTGGCTGCTTTCCAGGAACCAGGTGGCTCCCCTCGAGGTTTCTGAAGGGCTCTCGTGCCCCAGGCCTTGCACTCTCTGCAGCCTTGCCTTGGGGCCACACTAACTGCTCCTCTACCTTCAGCACTCAGCTCAGCTGTCACCTCCTCTGGGTCCTGGCTGAGTCACCCCTGTGTCCCCAGAGTCTAGCCAAGCCCCTGGCCCCAGGCAACCTCCAGGCAGGTTTGCTAAGTGGATCAATCAATAAATGCATGTTCTCCACAAAGGGGAGCCTAGTGCCCAGAGAGCAAACCTCACTAATGGAGCAGAAGTAAAAACGGGCCAGCCACGCACAAGCAAGCACACACATGGTTGTCCCCACAACTGCCAAAGCTGCCGACTGCATCCACCCACAAACATAAAGGTATGGTGGTGAGACAGACACAGACACACAGAAGGCACCCTGCGAGCACCAGGCACCATCCCGCCCCACACTTCTCTTCACCTTCTCTGCAGGGCCCAGGACTCCATGCTCCTTGACTTTGCACTCCAGACCCGGTGCGTGGCAGCAGGAAGCATGGACGCTGGCCCCCTGGTGGCCCACACACTGGCCAGGCTGACCTCGTGGCCTCAGCACAGGCTGCCTCTGGGTGCCAAGGTCCTCCGCCTCCCAGTGGGAGCTGCAGCCTGGGACAGAGGAGGGCTAGCTCAGACGCAGGAATGCCTGGGGGACCCTCTGTCTCTCTTCCCCACCCCCATGAGACCCCATCTCTTTAGGGTCTGAGGCAGGAGCTGGGAAACCTGGAAATGAGTCCAGGTAAAAAGATACCCTGTCTGAGCGACAGAACTCCCAGGTTCTCAACTCAACACAGCTGTTTACCTGCTGTGTGACCTTGGAAAGCTGCTCAACCTCTCTGAGCCTTATTTTCTCATGAAAAACACAGTCTCCTTCCACTCAGAGATGGGGAGCAATGTGGCAGGAGTGCCAACTGCCCCAGGCCCCTCCGCACCCAGCCACCCAGACAGAAGTTCAGGGGTCAGCTTGGGCTCTGTCTGGGTCATCTGGGACTTCCTCCGTGGGCTTGGGAGTCAGACATACCCACTGGCTATGAGACCTCGGATAGTGGTTACTCAGCTATACTAAGCCTCAGTTTCCCTATCTGTAAAATGGAAAGAGTAGCAGCACCTACTCACAGAGATGCTGTAAAGATGTAATGCAGACACACTTGAAGGTCCAGCACAGTGCCTGGCACATGGCCAGTGCTCCATATGTGTTTGGGTCATGGTTACTAGAACTCTCTGCATCCTAGCTGCATGGCCGTGGGCAAAGCCACTCAGCATGGCCAGGCCGCAGGTCCCTTCGTTATAAAATGGGAGTCAACTGGATGTGCTTCATATATGGGGAGATTCTGTGGCTCCCATGTCTTCAGATTGGCACGTGCCCTAAAGCTTCTCTGCTGGGCTTTCCCAAAGAAGAGAGTGTCTAGAACATGATGATGTCCACCAAGCCAGGAGCCTGATGCTGAGCATGGCAGCGACTCATTGGACCTGGCTGAGCCTCTCCCCCAGACAAGGGCACTGCCACCTGACTAGGCTCATCTTTCTACTGCAAATCTACCCCACACACCCAGCCAGCCTCTCTTCCTAGAGCCAGGTCCTTACTAGTCACCCTCCTACTCCTAAACCTTCAGTGGCTCCCCAGTATACACTCAGTGAGAACCAACTCCTGAGCCAGATGTTCCAGGCCTGCTCCCACCATCCCAAACCCTCCCTGGGACATCCCACACTCTACCCAAGCAGGGCCCAAGCACCTTCTCCCCACCTGAGGGGCACCATCCCAGGATCCCCCACCAGATCCCCAACTGTGACTTCTTGCTACCTGCCCAGTCATGGTGCTCAGGGCACATTTTTGACACAAGGTAGTTGCCTATATCGAGAATGGGTTTTAGAGCAATGGGTGATGATGATAATAATAATAGCTAGCATTTATAATGTCCTAGCACCAAGGTGTGTACTCAACCCCATCATTCCCATTTTACTTATAAGGAAACTGAGGCGCAGAGAGGTTAAGTCACTTGCTCAGGTCACACAGCTGTTAAGTGGTAGAGTGGAATTCAAGCTAAGGTTTGCCTAGCTTTCAGATCTAGCCTCTAAGCCCTGCCCTGAACTGCCTCATGCACTGCACTGGCTTTTGTTATGTGCCTACTGTGTTCCAGAACTGGTGCTCTAGATGTTACCCCATTTCATGGCAATCCAATGAGGCATCATCCTCTGATAGAGGAGGAAGCTGAGACTGAGAGAGGTTAAGTCATCTGCCCAGGGTCACACAGCACAGAAGTGGTAGAAGTGGGATTTGCACCAGGCAGTCTAGCTCCAGAGTCGATAGACTATGCTCCGTGAGGACCAGGCCTAGATCAGGCTGGGTGCATAAAGAAACAGGAACTCCTCCACACCCCAGGGTGGGGTTCAATTCCTACCTGTGAGGACATGGCTCTGCTGGTGGCAGTGGGCGTGGGTTTCCACCCCAGTCCCGGCTGGTGGCACTGTGTGGATGCTGCAGTTGGCCCGGGGCAACAAGCAGCACCTGGCAATGGCGTAGACACCCTCACCCCCAAATGCATTGTGGGCCAGGCAGACTCGCCTGCCCCCTCGGGCCTGGGAACCAAAGACAGAAAAAGGAACTAACTTTAGAAAGGGCTTCAGAAACCCAGGATGAAGGGGGCTAGCAGGGACCCATACAGAGGCACCTGGTCCTAGCCCCTCGAGCCCTCTTCAGCATCCCTGCCAGGGGCCAGTCAGCCCTGCTCCCATACCTCTGGGGACAAAGAGCTCACCCCTGCCCAAGGCAGACTGCTGTGTGGATGGGCAGTTCTGCCTATTTCAAAGTTCTTCCTGACACTGAGGTCCCTGGGTGGCACAAACAGTTTGCGCTCCTCAAAAAGTTGGTGGTTCAAACCCACCGACCCAGCGAGGCCACAGAAGAAAGTCCTGGCAATCTGCTTCCGAAAAGATTAGTCAAGATAACCCTATGGAGCTCAGTTCTACTCTGTAACACATGGGGTAGCCATGAGTTGGAATCAACTCGACGGCAGTGGGTTTGGTTTTCCTACTACTGAGAGTGCCTTTGAAATGGAGAGACAGGGGAATTGCTAAGCTGCCAGGGCAAGGCCCACCCATCTCAGCCCCGACCCACTCCCAGTCTCTCCAGCATGCGCTCGTTTGCACAGGCATGGCCAAGTGCACTCACAGACCCCGTCTCCCAGGGTGGAAATGCCTGCCTGCCTTCACCCTCCTGGCTTAGCCACTGCCCTTCTGCCAAACCCTGCATCCTTAACATCAATTCCGCATTTTGGTAGTTTGAGAAGATTTCTCAACTCCCGGAACCATGGAACATCTGAGCAAAAAGGAGCCTTGAAACCACTGAGTTCAGAAGCTGCAAACCCCTGTCATACTTGCTGCCCTTGCCCATGCCCGCACCCAGGCAGGCATTATTAATCAGTGCAGAGTGGCCCAGGAAGTCCTTCTCAATGTGGTGCTCTCCAGTAGTACCCCTCTTCACCTTCCCCAACTGTGCAACTGGCATGTAAGATGGGATGTGTCCCCCGTTCTGGCTCTAGCACAGTTCTTTAAGCTTGCAGACATTGGTCGGGGGGCTGGAGTCCAGAGGACAGAGGGTCTTGCTGGGGGTCCCCCAGGGGACAGGGCTGATCTGGGCTGAGAAGCAAGAATCCTGCTTCATGCACGACATACACAAAGGTTGGGGAGGGGTGCAGGTCACCTCAATGCGCTCGCCCCGCCTCTTCCCACTCCTGGAGAAACTCGAGCAGCTCAGCAGCTCCTCGTTCGTGGCGCAGCGGGCCATGGCTGTGGCCATCCGAGTAGGCCCTGAGTGCGGTGACCACACAGTCCTGCAGAGCAGCTGCCCACCTGCAACAAAGCCCTGGGGGTCAGGGGCGCGGCTGGGGAGCTCCATCAGGGGCTCTGCTCACAGAGGACTCCAGAAAAATCTTTAATTCGGTGAGGAGGTGCTTAAAGAACGTGTTCAACTTGCCCAAGTTCACACAGACCTCACAAAACCTTCCAGGACACCCGCTTACCTGCTCCGTGGGCACTGGCGGGCAGTGTGGCCACCAGGTTGGGAGTAAGCACCCGCTGGTCCTCAGGGAACCAGGCCTCATTGATGAGGCCTTTGGCAGAGAAGTGGATCAGCCTCTGCCTCAGCTCAACCAGGGTGAGGTCTGGCTCAGCAGTCAGCATCATGGCCAAAATACCTAGGCAGGGGGCCGGAGGGTGGGCAGTAAGAGATGGGAGTGGCCTGGCCCTTCTTCCCAAGAGTGGACTTCTCTGCTTGTGTGCGTGCGTGCACACACACACACACACACACGCCCACACGCCCACACACGTGCACACACACGCACACACACGCCCAGCTTTTCCTCCAGAAGTTAAACCACCACAATCACTTGCTAAGTGAAAGCCAAACAGTAAGATCCTCCCTTACATCCTGCTCTCACACCTCTTGTTGCTGTCACTGTACGCCATCAAGTCGATTCCATCTCATAGTGAGCCTATAGGACAGAGTAGAACTGCCCCATAGGGTTTCCCAGGAGCAGCTGGTGGATTCGAACTGCTGACCTTCTGGTTGGCAGCCTGAGCTCTTAACCACTGGGCCACCAGGGCTCCTCTCACACCTCTAGGCCTTGGCAATTGCTGTTTGGTTTGCCAGGTAAACTCCTATTCATTCTTCCAACCCCAGATCAAATGTCCTTCCTCCAGGAAGCCTTCCCTGACCCTCAGGCTGGTCAGGTCCTCTTCTGGGCCCCCTCTGCCCCAGCCCTGACTACTCTGCTGTGTTACCTTTGTTTCTGCACCTTCCTCCCCACAGATTGAGTGTCCTTGTGGGCACTGTCAGGTCTGACTCATCTTTGGTCCCCTGTGCCCAGCACAGGGCCAACCACATGGAGGTCCTGGCACATGGAGGTCCGGATGCAGACCCTGCCTGCCAAGGGGCTGTTTAGAATCATGGTGGCCAGAGGCAGTGGGGCAGCAACTCACCAGCCACATGTGCGGCAGCCTGTGATGTCCCACTCTGTGATGCAAAGCAGGTGCTGCAGTCACTGGAGGCACCGATAATATTGTCCCCTGGGGCAAAGAGGTCCACACAGCGGCCAAAGTTGGTCCCCAGGACTCCCAGGGTCACCGGCTGGTCCTGGGCATTGGTGGCCCCAACAGTGATGACCTGAAGAGGTTAGGAGAGGGATGGCAGATGGGGGAGGGCCCGCAGGGACAGACTGAGACCCTGCCAGCTGAGCTGGTGGACTCCTATATACATAGCTGGGCCCCATTCACATGTCACCTCCCAAGAGACATCTCTGACTCCCACCCCAGTGCTGCCCTCTGTCCCTACATGTCAGGCCCCACTCCCGATGCTGGGAGTGTCCACACAGACAAACCCCCTGCCCCTATGGAGCTGCCGTTGCAGTGGAGAAGACAGACAATAAATGGGGTATTAGGCAGTTATAAGTGCTATGGAGAAAAAGAGAAGGAAGGAGGAGAGGATGTGCTAGGCTTTGTTTGTTTTATACTATTTTAAATTAGGCAGCCAGGGACAGCATCTCTGACAGGCCAGGGGGAAGCGGGGGAAGCGAGTTGCCTTCGGAGTTGATTCCAACTCATGGCGACCCCTAGTGTGTCAGAGTAGAACTGTGCTCCACAGGGTTTTTATGGTTGATTTTTCAGAAGTAGATCACCAGGCCTTTCTTCCAAGGCACCTCTAGGTGGACTCAAACCTCCAATCTTTCTGTTAGCAGCCAAGCATGTTAGCACTGCCAGGTTCATGACTGCACCCTCCCCTGTCCCCAACACACCCCAGATTGTGAACTCCTAGACGAGCTCCTTCCCTGAGGTGCCCAAACCCCGACACGTGGTGGGTGGCCTGCAAATGTTGTTCAGATGAATGCCCAGCTCACGCATGCCCACCAGACTGTCAGCCCTCCTGGGTAGGGGCTTCGTCTGTGTCCACGTCTCTGCAGCGCCTAGAACGGACCTGGCACAGAGGCTGGCACAAAGCAGACGCTCTGTGGACGTTTGTGACTTTGAGCCCTCATCTGGTCCAGATCTCATAAGCCTCACTGAGGTGGTGGTGGCGGGTTGGGGCCTTGGGGGGCAGTCAGACAGTGGCGAGGCCCTGAGGGTACTAGGCAGTGAGGTGGGCAGGTTGTGTTTTAGGAGGAGCCCTTGAGGCCCTATGAGGTGGTCTGGCAGAGAGATCAGGAGGAGGGGGGAGAAAGCTGACCATACTGTTGTGTCAACGCAGGGGAGAGAGGATGGGGGCCCAGACGAGGCTGAGGTTGTGAGCATGGGCTGAAGGGGGAGGATTCAGGAGACACTTAGGAGGAGAATGGTCAGGACATGGGCGTGGCTGCATGGAATGGGAGGAGTTGAGGATGATGCCATGTCCAGGTGGGCTGCCGAGTGGACATATTTGGACTCTAGGAGTGTGGAAGTTCAATCCCACCACCTCCCCAAGCTTTAGCACTCAGGGGTGTCTGACAGCTTCTTACTGAAGCTCAGCCAGTCCCACCTCCAGGAACACCCCACAGGGGACTCCCCTCCGCTCATGCCCACCTCCGCCTCCAATCTGGGACACGGCGGCACCAGCACCCACCTCAGGAGCTGAGGCCGGCGAGTAGAGGCAGGCATCGTCCCGGAAGTTGCCGGCAGCGGCGACCAGCACCACCCCGGCCCTGGCCAGGCGCTGGCAGGCAGCGTTGAGGACCCGGCTGTGCCCGCCCACCAGGGGCAGCAGCACCACCAGCGGCCCTGCGGGCTGGGCCAGCTGGCTCTTCCAAATAAACTCCATGCCTAAGAGGAAAAAGCCAAGGTCAAGACCTGGTGAGACACTGCTTTCCTTACCCACCCACCTTCTCTCCAGACACATGGGAAGAGTATTAACAACTGAAAGGCAATAAACCCAGCCAACAGGCCTCTATTTCTAAGTGCCCCAATATACTAATTTACATGATTCTATAATAATAGCAACCCTACTATTATCCCTTTCTACGAAACTGAGGCATCGAGAGCTTAAGTCCTCACAGAGAAGAGAAGGAAGGGCCTACTTTGCCCCCATCTCTGACCTCCACAGTCTTGCTTGCCGTCAGTCCTGATGTAGACTTCAGTTCACATTTCCAGAATTTTAGGTGTGTACCAATGCTAGAGATGAAA